TGTCTTCCAAAGCAGTACTAATGAGAGCATTGTTGATTTTGAGCAGCTTATATGAAACGTTACCCCCCCTATAATCTGGAGTCACCACACAGTGCAGGAATTCTCTTTATTTCAGGACTGATAACATTTCCCCTGTGGCGGAAATTCTCCTCTGACTTCTTTAGGGGTTTTTCTCACCACTCTAAGAAGTTCACTGTGGGATGGCAGTGAGCTTCCCACAGTGATCAGACGTTTCTTCAGACATTAGATGTGTGGAGGATTAACACAGTAGTTATTTGTATTCCCAAAGTAGTGTATAGTAATGATAATTTCCTGCTCTGTATGCAGCTGTGTACTGAGAAAACAGTCTAAAGGTGAATGTACAGAAGGATTCGCTGAAAAGCAGTTGTCAGAGAGCCATGTCTCATGACATTTGCATTTGTGTTCACTCCTAAGTAACCTCTAACAAAGCCAAATATGTCACATTTTCATTGTGCCATATCTAGTGCACTGTTTCAGACTAACTTACATTACTCATCTGAGTTTGCATGCATGTTAGCCTTTTAATTCACTTTAAAAGTTTGCCTGATTTTAAAGGTAATCTTTGGGTAATGCACACATGCTGTGTTCTAGTTTGCATAGGGGAACAGTATATAAACATCTGAATTAAAGTATATTGATATACAGTAGGTATTACATATCTTGGCTTACAGTTGGTAAGCCAAAAGATGTCATAGCACCACTTGAGGGTAGAAATGCTAATGCAGCTCCAGACAGCACTGCGGTTTAGGAGCATAACTGAAATGCTTGCACACCAATGCACCAGAGTATGAGAAACAGCGTGAACTGGAAGCGTTGGTCAGTTCCCAGAGCTGCGATGTCACTGGTGAGACTTGGTGTGATGAGTCCCATGACTGCAATGCTGGATCAGGGCTGCAGCTGTTCAGGAGGGACGAGCAGGGCAGGCGAGGTGGACGAGTTGCACTGTATGTAAGGGAGGGCTTTGACTGTACAGCCTTTACAGTTAGGGGTGATGTGGTTGAGAGCCTCTGGTGAGGATGAGGAGGGTGGAAAACAAAGGAGGTTGTTGTAGGTCCCTTCCAACTGGAACTATTCTGTACTAAATAGCGTATTCAACAACCCTGTGTGTTCAGTCCACAGGAATAAACTAGAGCTGGCATGAAGTAAAACCCTCTAAAAGGCAGATAAGTTGCCTATTGGGTCCTCATTGTGAATCATTTTGCCCTATAGTTCCATTCCTATTGGGCTGCTGTGCCTGCAAGTGTACACATAGCTTTTGATAGAGTATTCCTCCTGTTGTGTGCTAGTGCTGGACAAACAAATAAGACTTATTTCTAGGTGATCTTTCAAAATAGTATGTTGCACTGGAGACAGTTCAAGGACTGAAGTGGGCAAGTTGGTTGCTACTGCATTGTAGATGAGTGGGAAGGCAGCAAAGGAAGCTGGTGGTGAAGATACTGGTAGGACATATTCTTGTGATTCCAGCATAGCTGTTCTGTGGGCAAACAGAAAGGATTCTTTTTCTATCCTTAGCACTTACGTATAATTCTTTTCCACACTGTATGTGTTTCATATGCATATTTATGAATTCAGTCTCACAGTACATAATGCTCTACTGAAAGTAGTGGGGTTTTAAATGTCAGACAAATGTAGTCAGATACTCTTCTGCTCGAAAAGAGATTGTCTAACCACTTACATATCACTTTCCTAGTGATATTTCTTCATCCTTGCCTATACAGTACATGCTTTCGCTTATGTTTATGTATGTATGTAAGAACAGCACTTATTTTGATTCTAATATCAGAATATCTGAATGGAGATGATCTGGGATCTCAAGACTGATAGAAGTTTTGAATAAAGATTTAATTTCCCAAAGGTGGAAAGACTCAGGCAACTTCTTAAGCACACTTTTTCCTGTCCAGTCCTGAGCTTTTCCAGAAACTAAGTAAGGTGTAGGACCTGTAGTTAGTAGCCTGCTGTGGTCACACATGGAAGACTGATTCCCTAGATCTCTCAATTGCCTGCCACAAGTTACCTCTGCACCATAAGGGAGTGGGAGAGTCTTCTGTCATTAACTTCATGCCCTTTCCCTGCAGCTTCAATTTGGGGGTCCTCTGCATAGTGAATTTTAAATAATCCTTCTCCTTCAAGCATTTTAGCCAGCTGTGAGAATCAATGCACAATGCACAAGGGTGAGCATCACATACTGGTAATTTTTTTTTTAACATAAACCTGTAAATATGGCTTAATACAAGTATCTGTGGTACATTTGACCTTGGATGGCTGCCAGATGCCCATTCAAGTAGTCTCTCTGCCTCCTCAACAGGACAGGGAGAAGATAGGATGAGGTAGCTCATGGGTCATGATAAAGACAGGGAGATCGTTTACCACTTATCTCACAAAACTGGACTCTACTTGGGGAAGAGTAATTTATTACCAATTCAAAATAGAGTAGGATGGTAAGAAATGAAAAGGAAAACACCTTCCCTCCATTCACCTCTTCTTCCTAGGCTCAACTTGACTCCTCATTCCTGAATTTTCTACCACTTTGCTCCCCAAGTAGTGCATGTTGGGTAGGGGATGTGGATTACAGTCAGTTCATAAACCTTCATCTCTGCTGCTCTTTCCTCTTCATGTTGCTCCCCTGCTCCAGCATGGGGTTCCCTCCCATGGATACAGTCCTTCATGAACTGCCCCAGCATAGCTTCTGCTCACAGATTGCGGCTCTGAACCCATGGGTCCTTTCCATAGGGTATAGTCCATCTGGAAAAGTCTGCTCCAGTTCCAGTCCCTAATGGGCTACAGTTCCTGCCAGGAACTTGCTCCTATATGGCCTCTCCATGGGCTGCAACTTCCTTCAGGGCACATCTACCTGCTGCAGCATGGGGTTCTCCACAGGTTACAGTGTGGATATCTTCTCTGGCATGGTCCTCTGTGGGCTGAAGAGGGACAATCTGCTCCATCTTGGTCTTCTCCATGGGCTGCAGGGGAATCTACTGCAGTGCCTGGAGAACCATCTCCTCTCTTTCCCCACTGACCTTGTGTCTGCAGAGTTGTTTCGCTCACGATTTTCTTACTCTTCTGTCTCACAGCTGCACATAGCGTATTTTTACCTTTTATTAAGTATGTTTTCACAGAGGTGCCATCAACTTTGTAGTTTCACTTTGCAGTGTTCCACAGTTGCTCTGTTTTGGAGCTAGCTGGAACTAGCTATGTCTAGCATGGGTTGAAGCCCCTGGCTTTCTTCTCACCGAGGCTATCACTGCAGCTTCCCCACTGCCAAAGCCTTGCCAGGTAGACCCAATACAATATCAAATGCCATGTTTCCTCTTACAAGGGATGTTAACTCCAGGCAGTTCAATTATAAACACATTAGATTGAATTTCCAAGGGGAAAAATGTCCATGTTTGACTTTAACATGTTATATAATGATTTGAAGTGCAGCTGCTCTCTACGTTTCTTCACATAGTCCACACTTCAATCAGTTTGGGTCACACAGAAGTCCAAAGTGGAAGTACTTCTGTTTCTCTAATGAGTTCCAAATTCCTACCTCTGTTTGCAATGCTTTCAAGGAAAAAAAATAAAAATCCAGGGTTTACCCTCTACTGCTGCATGCATGACCATGTTGCTTATGGTTTGCAAATACTCCAGTGGTCACAACAGTCTGAAGGCATTGTCTGCCACGTATATTAAATAAATAAAAATTATAGGTGACCTTTCGTAATTAATTAGTTCAGCTTCAGTCCTTCCTAATATACCCTCGTAGGCTGTATGGTTTAGAAAGTCATACAGACAAACCCTCTTCATACTGTGATAGTGTTCATTTCCCCTTAAATATTTTCTTCCTTCCAACAATAGTCTTTTCTCTTCCCCCCAGTTTTCAGTCATGTTCAAAAAACAAAAACCTCACTTTTCTCCCCCACCTGCTTGAATTCAAATATCGGTGATAATCAATATGGATGAAACATCAGAAAAGCCCCTGCCAGCCTCAAAGCAGTTATTTGCCCGTTTTTGCCTGTACAGTCTGCTTGGTTGCTGTCTATATTCTTCATTCCTCAGCCTTTGAAGAGACTGTGGTCTAGTTGCATTCTCACAGGTAGTCCCTACAGAAGTATGAAGAGCAATGCACTTGAGTAAAATGGCTAGAATTTTGCATTTGGCTTCTGATCGTCATTCACTTCCCTTTAAATAACATGTATATGGCCTAACATCACACTTCTTTTGTGTATCTGTCTGCTGTTCAGCACGGAAGAAAATTAGTGTGGAAAAAGAGATTCTTGATGTCTGCCAGACACACGGTTATAAGGTTTTAGTTCTGAGCCTTAAATATTCCCTAGAATATATGGTACATGAGTACCTGATCACTTGCCTTTGTGGTTTAGCTGGATATTCTGGAATCTTGTTTCGAGAAGTGAAGTTTGGGACAGAATGTGAGGATCTTTTGTGAATGCCTGGGGATATTCAGCATGTGAATTGCACAGGTTGCAAAGTTTCCAGCCTCTGCTCATTGAGAGATGGCCAGTTCTAGCTAATTTAGAATTTATATATATGTATTTATGAGGCACATGCATGTTGGCCTAATATAAAATAATCTTACAGATTAAATGATACTGTCATTACAGAATATCTATTGCTAACGAGGCAAGAATTAACACCAAAATTAGGGTTGTTAGCGTGACTGTGAGTGGAGACACTTCAATTTTTTCAGAGTTCTCTAATATATGTTAGAAAAAATATATTAATTTTATATATTCCTTCAAAAGCATTCATGCATTTGAAACCAAAACTTTCAAAATCAGCTTGTTACTTTGATCTGTTCCATTTTTGAGGTGCATTAAGGAGAGCTGCCTCTTCCGAAAATTCTGTGCTTGTTCAATAACAAGTTGATGAACATGCAAACAGGAGTTTTGCATTGAAAATCTTTGCCTAACTTCTTTTTAACCTATGATACGCAGCAGCCCACTGGGAATATACTTCTTAGTTCCAAACAAAATATCAGCTTAGCTTCTTTTCTTTTTGATACTGCCTGTCCCTAGGTGTGCCTTCCTTTCGGAGAAGAGGTTCTGGATGATAAAGCACATACCTGAATCAAAACACAAAATGGTGTAAGAACAAGGGAATAGAATCCAAAGTGTCTTCAATTCATGCAGAAGGAACAGTATAAGCCTTCATCTGGCAATTTGCATAGTTCCTTAAATGAACTTAAGAACAGAACACTGCATTACAAAGATGAGAGTCTTCAAATTGGTCTTAAAGCCAATGACATGATGAAGACTTGGCTGTAATGCAGCCAAATTCAGTTCAAAATTTTCAAAAGCAGCTTGTTAAGAAGGAGAAAGGGTTTATTTACATGCAGGTTTGCAGGGGGTTCTTTTTTCACCCCTTTAGATAGAACTTCTCATACCAGCTAAGAGGAATGAGTGAGATGGGGTTGCACAGAATGAAGGTATGATCAAATGGGAATTGATTTAAAAATAGGCATTTTTTAAATTTTTTTTTGTATTTTCATGCCTCTCTCACACGATGTTTCTTGCAAATTCAATTATTTGTATTTGAAAGACATCAGAAATCAAAACAGCTGATGATGAACTTCCCTGCAGTGGTCTGCAGGAGATGTGGCAGAGAGTTAGTGTTTGTGAAAGAATCTATACTGATTTGATTTTTTTGTTGCCACAGGCATCCCAGTTGTGTTGAGACACAGCTTTCTGGAAGATGAGATACTTACCTATAAAGAGCACTAGCAGATACGCTTTCAGAATATAGGGGAAGTAGATTGAGAAGGCAAATGGAAATGGTAGCTTGATGGAGTATGTGCCAAAGGATTCAAAATAAGGCAGTGATACACAAATTGCAAATGCTGTAAAATAACATGGTAAATATTTAGTCAAAGGAGATAGAAGATCATCAAAAAGCTTCATGTAAAAGTCAGTTACCTTTAAGGCATAGATAGCTATATTATATGCCAAAGTTACCATGCCATTTGTATGCATATTAATGTTTTCTCCTTAAGTTCAGTTTTGTAGGTCTGAGGGTCTAATTGCTCTTAATACTAAAATTATCAAGTATTTCCTGTTCAGTAACAAGTTCTGTCACTCCTGTGGTTGCACAGCTTTCAATATGATCTCAGTGGGCACGTTTCCTCTTGTAAGCATGATAAACTGCTAAGTATGGCCTGCTGTCTAACATGGTCAGTCTAAAATAGGGGAATCCATGTATCTTTTCTGGAGGTATTTTCCTACTTATCCAGAAAAATTAATGTTCCCCATTCTGTTAAAAAACAAAGCAAAACAGAACAATGACACACAAACCCAGAGTACCCCCATTAAAGAAAGAAGTACAGGAAAGAGGAAGATAGGTGACATACAGGTTGAGAGTACATAAACATTTATGCCTACTTTGGCAGTAAAAAAAAAAAAAAAAACCTATCTTAAACAACAATTGAACTGATCATATTTTATTGAAGAAAATTAAGGAAGCAAATTGTTGGTACCTTTCTGATCTCCTTACCTTTAGCCAGAACTGAAAGAGCGTAGAGCGGGATGTACAGTGAGAAGTTGAGCCATGTCAGTGGTAGGTAGTATATTCCCATCCTTGCTAACATGTTGTAAGTGTATCTGATGCAAGAGGAACAGCAGATGAGTTCAGAGGAAATGATTGTGTCTTTAAAATAAATACATAGCATTGAACAATCCAGGAAAATTGCAGAAGAGCTTGGAGCTGCTGATCTGAGAGTATTTCAGAGCAATTCTGCCAACAGTTCTGTTCAGGCTCTGACCAATGGCTGGAAGTAGATGGGTTCATTGTTTCAGAAGGGTTTGTCTATGGTGCTAGCAGGTAGACAGAAATACAGCCTGCCAGCTGGAAGGTTCTGTCAGAAACCAGTGTGATTTTATATTGGTCCGTCAGAAAATGGATTTCAGATATGAATATTACAACCAAGAGGGGCACACAGAATACAGCTGTTGCTTGGGAGCTGAGAATATGCTGATTTATGACTGCTGAACTACCTAAAGCACTGCTGGAAAAGACTAAACAGTAAAGGTAATTGCAGGTACTTAATGTTCTGCGGAATGGCTGCCCCTCTCTTGGACCTCAGAAGGGTTAGTAGGTGCAAAAGAAAGCAACTGTCCAATATATTGTAGTGGTTTACTGTGCTGTTACTGTTGCTCACTGGGAGACCAGAATGCCTAAGACTTCACTCTCCAAGGCGAGCTAGTGCTAGCTAGTTTGATCTAAAACTGGTACAGTAGCTTTCCGAACACGGGAGAAACGGAGGTCTGATCACATTTTTGGTCAGCTGAAAGGCTTTTGGCCTATGGTTTTGCTAGAGAGGTGGAAATAAAAATTTTTAAGCCACTTTTAGCCAGGACTGTTTCTGGCAGATGGAACCAGCATTAAGCAAACTTTCTGTATTCCCTTCTTATTAATTCATTTGTATAATTTTGCATCATACCTGGACTGCGATGATTTTGATGGGTTATAAATGTACCATCTTCTCTCAGGTTTGCCCTCTGCAACCTCAGGAGTGCCTCCATATTTTTATTTTTGCTTTTGAGGCATAATCTCAACCCAGTGCAAAAAGGATACAGCTACTTCCTCTCGATACACATTCTTTGGCTGTTCATGGTGTAAGCAGGAAAGATCAGATACAGAAAACCTTGCAGAATTTGCTCTCAGTAAATCGTTAGCCTTAATGCACAGGGTATTTACATCACTGAAGAATTATGTGGAGGAACTTGCAATACTTCAAAACTAGTTGGCTGAGGGTTAGGATGGATTCCTGTGTGCTCTAAGGCATGACCACCTCTTTTTGATGCTAGGACATGGCACAGATGCTGTAAAATTAATCATGTAAGAATTCTAAATTGGTGTGAGTAGTACTATGTATTTGGATTGGGCATTTGCTGCTGCAGGCCACAGTATCTTGCTTATTAAATGGCCAGTGTTATTGCTATGATTCCAGACTCTGTACTTCAGCAAAGATAGAAAATAGTGATGCATTGATAGGACTACTCTGACAGGACTTTACAGCCAATCTTGTTTACACTTTTGGCTTCTCTCCAGCTGCACAGAGAGCTTTCAGCTGAGATTAAGTTCTACTCTTTTAGCTTTGCAAACTCAAAAAAGAAATGGGATGGAGCAATAATCCAAATAGGTAATACAAGTAGTGGTTTCTTAACACATGTAGTACATACACTTTGAAGTTGACCTAAAGCCCTTCTTACTAATCCTGACATTTTCCTTTTTCAGATCTCTTTAATATTGTACATTTCCTAAGCTGTCTGAATCCATATTCCCAGTCAGTCTCCAAAGCAATGTTTATAAAACAGCAGAAACTACTATTTGAGCAGAAAGAAGATAAAGAAAATTACAGAGGTTGCCATGAGGACTGTGTCTTGTTAAAATGCTTCTTAATTGCATATGTCTTCCCTGCCGTAAGTTTACAAAATGAGGGCAATAGAGCTTAAGTTACATTTGAGAAATGTTACTGACTTCAGATACTGATGCAAGAGTCAGTAATGTGGAATTTTCACCATTATGCTTTTACCACAGGGAAGTACTGGTAACCTTCCACCACACAAAACTTTTGAGATAAAAGTCCTGAATTGCATTCCTGTTCATCTTGCCTTATGTTTGTGTCCCTGCAGTGTGATGTGTGCCCTACTACACCAAAATACTCAGTCTCCACAGCAGGAGCTCTTGGCTTTTTGTAAAGCACAGTGCAAGTAACCCAGAATAGTCTCTGTCTTGGTAAGAAGTTCTGCCACTGCTGCCTGTGCTGTCAACCTTGGATCAAAGTGAGGTATTAAAAAAGTAAATAAATAATAAATTTAAGTGTTAGGATTGTAGAGTATTTTGGCAATTGCTGTTCCCCGGGAGGCAGTTGTGATTTCCTTCTAAATTTTTGTTAAAAACGTCAAAGCCTTTGAGCTACACATTAGTGCAATGTAAGTCTGTAAGTAAGACTTACTTCTGTAAGTCACTCTGCCTCTCAACTATGTGGATTTTCGTAAAAATCAGTAAATAGCCTTTATTTCAAATAGATAATATGCTTTTCTACCAGTTTTGAAATAACGAACTGAGGCAGTGGAGGGGGGGTTCTGCTCACGAATGACCCGTTTTTCCCTCATTGCTTTGCCATTTATTCCTTACCTGACCACATCTAATACATTCCAAAGGAAAAACAAAACACACACGATGTACCTCCCTTGAACTTCTTCCTGACTGTTGATCACAACAAATAAAACAATTATTCTCTCAGTGATCTGAAAAGAAAAAAAGAATTGTGAATTCAGGTAGCACCTTCTGTAGCTCTCATTGAATAAGAGGGCACAGGTTGAATCCATTTTTGTTTGAACAGATGGTCCAGGGAACATTTTGCTTCTTGGCCTGCTTTTGTTCAAGACACTGTTGGCCTGCAGCTCAGTGGAAACTCTTGGCTGCAGCATCATAGGTCTGCTATAATAAGGGTGGAGATTTGCTTGCCAACAGGGATGACTTGGGTTTGTAGCCCAGGAAACTTGTGGATGAGCTGGCTAAGGTTGTGGGAGCAAGGACTGCAGCCTACAAGCAAGGAAACTTACCCCCATGTGGGAGTGAGCTTCCTTATAGGATGCATGGGAGGGTGTGGGATACAGAGCGCCCTTGGGTGCACAGAATGCCAGACAGTGCTAATCTCACAGTGCCATCTCTGCTTGCCACAGCTTCGAGATCTGCAACCCAGTGTCTCTCTCTCATGTAAGATTTGCAGAAAGGAGAAGGAATTCCTTATTTTTCTTTCCTTCCTGTTCCTGGCTAGGAGAAGTGGGTTTAAGTTTATAATTGATGTGAATTATTGCCATAATATTAGTCATAATATTTTTTTAGTGGTTGAACTTTACCCGACCCACAAGCTATGCCTCTACAAATGAAAAGATATGAAAGTGGATTAAACACACAGTGTCTTCATCTTAAAAACAAAAATACTTTGGCAATATTAGAGCTCAAGAAATTAAAAACAAGTTTGTGTTTCCTGGATAAGTTTGCCGTGCCCTGCCCTGTAAAATAAATACATCTGTAGTGTTCAGTACTGCCAACAGTTGCTTGCGAAACTCCCAGAACAGTATCAGCTCACTCTAATGTACACTCTATTTGAAAGTGCTGGAGAAGAAAACATGCACCTATTCAGTTGGTATGAATCGGTATAGCTTCATTATTTTCGTTTATTTAGGGTTTTGTACACTAGCTCTTCCATAAGGTACCTTAGGTTTAACGATTTTATGGGTTAAGATGTCAAGTCAGTGAAAGGCTGTGAAATGAAAACAGATTATCAAGGTGGTTTTCTCAGTGCAGCCATTCTCCTTCACTGGTTTCCCCCTCCCCCTTAGTCCTACCTTAAACAGTTTTGCTACATAATGTTTACCAGTTCCTGCATGGAACATTGTGGCTTGGGAGTTCTTTTATTACTTTTTTTTCAGACCACATCTGTCAGATAAAGCAATCATCACTTCCCTATTCAGCAGAATTACATGAGAGCAATTTTCCATACAGAAAGAGAGCATGTCCGTCCCCAGGGATCTGGTTCCTTATCTTGAAAGGCACTGAGAGGCCACAACAGATAAAAATGGTTTTGCTGTCTCTCCCCCTGCCCTGACTGTCGTCTTGTGCTGCTGATCCCATTGGTCCCTAACTGAGGAACTGATTTCTAAGAAGGTCAGATGTTGACACGCGTCTTTGTAGACAAGCCAGGAAATGGAGAGTGAGAGGTACAAAGTCCTGTGTTTGTACACTGATGCCGAGGAACTTCACAAGAAATTGGGAGAACTGTAAGTGTTGATGCAGGATCTGAAACCAGATATAACTGACTTAGAAGAAGTATGGTGAGACAATCATCACAAGAGGGAAATCAAAACAAAGGGAAAAGCAGTATGAGCATTGAATGGGATTGTGTGGAGAGAATACATAAAAGAGAACCTGAATTAAAATCATTTTGGTGAAGGGTGTTAAAGAAGTGCAGCAATGGTGGTCGTGGGCATTTTGTTACCAATCCTAAAATCAGACTGGGACGTGGAGAGAGAGTTCTGCAATATAGTTAATAAGAGATATTTCAGGGAGTTGTCTCACTTAGAGACCAAAGCTTCACCATGATAATGAAAAAGTGTCTTCAGATGTGAGACCTGGCAGGCGGATTTTCCAAATGGCCACTGGCTCTTCAAGAGATGGCTGGGTGGGAAAGTGCTAGGAAGCAGCATGGGCCAAGTGATCAAGAACTGATCCTATTTGAGTGAAATAAAAAGATAAGCAGTAGATCAGTAGCTATCATCCCACATTTCAAAAGGATGAGCGGCTATGGAGACCCACAATTCAGCCTCATGGAGTGGAAGGGGCTTTCTCTCCCCAGGGCATAAGCAGATGCACAAGTGGCAGTGAATATCACCTAGCTGGGGGTCAGCAGCTTTCCTCCATCAAAGTATTCATGTTTGGGAAGTGGAGCACTCAGCTTTACTAGTTGCAGAGGATGGAAGTCTGATTACTGATTGTCTAGAGTAGATTAAGCAGCTGCAAGAGTAGGGAACTGGACCTAATGCAAACAGGTCCCCTGTAGGTCTTCTGTTCCTGTTCAGCTGCAGTCTCAGCCAGCAAACAATGGGATGCATAAAGAAGCCATCAGAGACGAAAACTGAAAACTGCCCACAGTCTTGCTCTGGAGCACTTCTACAGGGTAGACACAGGCTGGCTCCTTAGGGCAATTGTGATGTCCTCAGGAGGACAGACAGTAGCATTCTACCTCTTTTGTTGCCTGCCTGCTTGCCTTTATTCCCCTTCAAGACATTGTGCTTATAGCACTCATATGTTTAGGTAACCCATACAAATCCAAGGCAGATGCAGGGGTTAGACAGAGGCTTTTCAGTAAGTGACAAGCCAGGGCACTGATTGAAGAAGAGGAGATTCCAGTAAATGTCTGTTGATATTGTGCCCATACACATATATATCTGTATACATACACACAAGGAATCATGTACACATATCAATATACACACATGTATATATATGCATGCATATGTATACATGTGTGTATACACACATACATATATATATGAAAAACATGTGCTGCTATCCAGCCACAGCTCATTTCTTCTATGGATCATCTGTCCTTGCATGAATGAAAATATGGCATTCTCCCTGTTGATACTCTCTTGCTTAAAAAAAAAAAAGAAAAAAAAACCAACAAAACCCACAAAACCAGAAGTCCTGTGTTTTCATGTTCATAAAAAGGAAGTATATGCTGACACCTCACAAAGTGTAAATACAGTGGTTTCATTTTTCATTCCTTCTTGTTCTTTGTGCTAAAGTCAAACTGGAATTTCCTTCCTCTCCCAGCACTGGTTTCTCACAGGATACAGCCAGTTCTCTAGAATGACATAAATTTTTGCAAGGCAGCCCGGGCATTTGAAGCAAGTAAGTGAAACAGAGCAAATGAGACTAGCAGAGGTTAGGGAAGCAGGCAGCACATTCACTTCAGTTTTTAAATAACCATGACTGTGCAGTATTGAACCTGGTACCTGAAACCCCTACACAAGCCTTTGATATAGTGAATATTTTAAAAAAAAGTAAGAAAAATGCTGACGTGACACATTCTCCTGTCCTCCTCTCGTTCAAGCTGGAAATGCCCAGAGAGATATCCCTTTGCACCAGCTCTGTGACCCTCCCTTGTCTTGCCTTCCTCCAAAGCACCATCACACAGGACTCATTTTTCTTTCTTGGTTTGACTTTTCCTTGGCCTGCCTAACCTTCATCAGATGTCTGGTGGCCTGATGCTGTGTCCTTCAATGAGGCCATACTGAATGTGTTTTTCCAGAGGATACCTCTGAGTTTACCTTTCCACTATTTGTAACATGTATCTCAAAGTGTTCCTTGTAAATGCTATTAAACCATGATAAATAGGTTATTAGCAGAAATCCTTCATTCAAACTACTTAAATCTTATCTCTGCTGCAACGCCTACAAAACAACCAGCCACCACAGAGGTGCTTTCACAGCTTGTTTTATTCAAGGTGGCCTTATCTTCATCCATATGCTTCCCTGACACTGCCAGAGCCACCAGTTCTCTCACTCTAGATGAACTCCATTGTGGATATGCATGTGTGTGCATGGCCTGAAGGATGTATCTAGGGATATGTTTTACGCTTAGTCAGAAGAGGTGGTAGGAACACAGAAGAGGGTAGCCACTATCAAATTCTTGCAGCTTTACCAGTGCCCTGACTACATGCAGTAGCCCATAGGCTGCAGTAAGGTATGCATCTCTGACTGTCCTTCCTCAGTTCATTGTGGAAAATATCTCTCTTTTTCCTAAGAGGCAGGGAGGAAAGCGTGACAAGGCACACGGGAGTACTGTTGGCGCACAGCTGCTTAACCTGTACTCCCACAACAAAAGCAGGGCAACCCAAGTGAAAACAGAGTACACCGAAGAGCTTGTACACCTAGCTTGGACAGCGTAAGACCGCTGCTATCATCAACACAAGAGAGTTATGTTTGCAGTGAGAGAACACCTGGGAAAAGAACCACGTAAGGATCCAGAGCTATCTTTATTGTGAGACAAATGTTTGGAGTCACCATGCCATATTGCTCCCTGACCCATGTTCTTCATGCTGACCTGAAGAGCAGTGTAGTAACTGCACTAGCCAAGAAAGGTCACAGTTTTCTTGCTTAGAATATCCATTTCATATCTAGCGTCTTTTGTGGCAACACAGCAGGTTTTGTGCAGGCTTCCCTGATCTCTGCTCCTGCTGGGCTGGGTAGGAAAGAAATGGACTATGCAAGAGCTGGGGAATGTGTAAACTCTGCCACAACAAGCCTTGCTTTAGTGACTATCTACTGGCAGGCCGCTTTTCTCTGTAAGACATGATGCGAGACTTGTTACAAGGCACATTAGGTAGGATACTTCCCACCAAGATGAGTATAAAAGCATGTAGATTTAGGCAGGGAAAAACAGTTGATTGCATTTTAATGAATTTGCTACCATACTTAGTGAGCAGCATGAAGAAGAGAGATCTGTATTAACCAATTTCCAATGGAGATTTAAAAAGAGGAACATCTTCACCCATGCAATATGTCATCTGACAAAAATGGGCTATCCAGAAAACTAAAAACATAACTAATTACTCTTACTCTTCTACCTTCTGACTGCTGAGAGCAATACCAGTTTCACCATTATTCAAATACTAAGGATGGAAAGGTTTGAAGGTAAACTCAAGTCGACATTTTTACTTTTTCCAGTGCATTAAAAAAAATACCAAAACCTGAGATAAAGTCCCAACAGAAAACAAAATGTGGTAAGGAAAATGTCCAAGAATCATCTTGTATTCTCCTATTGCATGTGATCTTTTGGCTGGTTTTCTGTCTACAGCTGAACATATGCCCTTAAACCCCTTAACAGCATCAGAACCTCTGGATGTTGCCACAATTTGCCCATGTCTGGGTTTGAGAGGGCAGAGACCCTTACAGCAAGAATATGACAATTCTCCTCTTTCCCCTCCTAGCATTAGTTCTTCTTCAGTCCCTTGATTTCTCTGTCTTTATCAATTACTTTCCGTCCACACTCCATGACTGCCAACAAACCCTGTTTCAGGAAGCTCGCTGTGCTCATAGTGTTCTCAAGTGCCATCCCTTTGCTACCCTACAAAACCTTGTGCTTGTCTCCAAAATAAATACTCACTTGTCAGTGAGGAAATGGCATGGAAAAGAATTAGCTACTGAAACTTAGGCTCTGAAATCTTGCCGTCTGGCTGTAACAAGTTGGCTGGGGAGGTAGTATCCTCAGACATCTATGGTGTCCTAGAAATGAGGTCTGCCCCTTTTCTGCAGGTGGCCTCTCCTCAGGTTCCTGCTCTTGTGGGCTGGGCATGGGACACTCACTACTCAGTTTCATTTGAAAGCAGCTCTTTCCCAACCACTTCTGAGGGCTCATTTCCTGCAGTTAGGAAACCATTAGCAGACCAGGCTCCCTAATGGAGGGTGCAGGTGGACCACTCAGGGTAGTACAGAACATGTCCCCAGGGGCAGCCATGTCTGAAATGTATAGGTTTGGAAGGAGGGTCTTGAGAAACTGGCATACCTGCAAAAGCCTGGGGAAGAGACGACTTTTATCAATGCCAATGAGGATGTGTAAGATCTCCAATACAGATAACAACTGGCAAAGGCGCATCACAGATCCTATGGAGTAAAAGGTGTCTGCCAGTGAATCTACAAAGTGAAAAGGAAAATTAAAAGGTGTTTATATAGTAACAGTCTGAATCAGCTACTGAGTCTACTCTTGCCCTATCACCACTGGACATGACAAGAAATAAAGCTCACACAGTTCCAAACATTTGGGTAGCAGACACAAAGCTTCGTGGAGGGGAGGAGGCAGCCCACTCTCTGTGTGTGGCTCTGACACAAAGGCAGGAAGCTGAGAAAAGAAGAGGATCCCCTACACTTGATGCATTGGCAAACACTGCAGGATGTGTTGGCTTAGGGATATCACTTTAGGATATTTCTATGAGGAACGGTTAAACATGAGGAGATGTTGAGTTCCTGCCTTTATCTGTACACATGTTATTTCCATAAAGAAGTAGATGACAAAGCAGGTATTTTATGTGCCTACTGTCCATGATTATAAACCATCTTAAATTTCTAGTCTCTAAGTTTCTGGTTTTGTGCCTTAACCCTATGCAACAGATAGAGAATTACATGTAATGTTTTTGGAGATAGTGATGTGCAATATCTACAAAAATATTCCTTCCTAGTGGCTTCAGTAAGATTAATGTTCACCCTTACGACTGAACCTACTCACATTTAAGTCTAAGTCAAATGTTACTGCTGAATGCTGCTGAATATTAAAGCTCATTAGGAAAACAAGAACTTCATTTCTGATGTGGTACAGTCAGAATGTAGGTATGAGAAATTTGTTCATCCTTTTAATGGAAGAAACAATGTTTTCCTAATTGAAATTACAGCCCCGGTATTGGACATACACCTATCCAGAATCCTAACTTCATCTCTAATTTGTTGTCTCTGTGTGTCACTGACTTTTGAAATCTTTAACAAAAACAAAGAAGGAATCCTACCTTTTCCAAATGACATGAACCTGATGATCATATTTGTAAATATCCAGGAATGTCCACAGAATTGCATCAAGTCATATATGAAGAGGTAGGTGTTCATGGTAAAGCTGTGGAGGTGAAAATGATACAGCAAACTGTATGACTTACTACAGCATTTGAATTTTCTGACCTGTACAAATTGTACCTTTTTTGGACATGTTAGTGAATCAAAGGAAAACAGATGAAATATAAACAGATCAGTGAAAAATGACTGTGTCTGTAAGTGGCCACAAAACAGTACTCTCCCAAATGGATCATAGGCTCCCTTTGTTGTTATACTAAGGATATACCCAGAAAAATCTTCTTGAGTTTCCACTGGTGATGAGGGTGATCTGTGGCCACATCATGAAATCTGTTCCTCCAGAGGAAAAAGTAAGTGAACAAAGACACTCCATTGGGTGCTGGATTCAAGCCTGAGCCCCTTGGCTAGGGACTGCTTGGGGTTGCACCCACAGCAGCCCTGCTGAGGGGCTTGGACTCCCACAGACACCAGCCCTGGGATTTCTCCATCTGGGTGAGATTTATCCTGTTCTTCCCAGAAGACATGCCCCTAGCACGCACTCAAGACAGCTTAAACTACAATGCAAATAACTTGCAGTGTCTCCAGCAGATGGCAGTTTTAAGTATTTATGAAAATGTAGGTGAAGAAATGGAAAAGAAAGCCACATTTCAGTCTGCTTTTATTTGGTGCACTATGAAAGATATCTGTCTTTCCCCTTTTCAATCAAATTGCTCTACAGGTTTTCCAAATGAACATGAAGTTAGGGTCTTTGTCTTTCTGCACAGCCTCTGTTTCAAGTTGCATTTAATAAAGTGAATCTTCTCCTGTTTGACCAGACTAACCTTTGTAGCCCTTCTAACTGATTTTCATATTTTATCTGACCTTTAGCAAAACTTCATAGGCTCCAGAGATGCTTAACTTCCATTTTTCATAGATGTACTGTCCTCTGATTCATTCCAGAGGGAGAGGCTTGCCTGTCCTCCAGCTATGAAAAGGACTGCCTACCTTTTTGAGAAGTGAATTCGTGAATTTTGTAGTAGAATTTATCTCCAGTGTTTGAGCAATTAATTTCCTGCCCCAGCAACTAACAAGATCTCTTTAAATTGCCCCTTGATCCCTGTATTCATGTGACATGTGCCATCAAATCTCTGACATCAAATTTTGTCTCATTTGTATCTGTACATTAACAAACACAGTGTTTAGAAGCATGCAAATATGATAAATGCATACCTTTCGTTCCCAGTATTGGACCACGACCGTAAATAACAACACTTCTGTGAACTGATTAAAATAAAATGATCTTCTAAATTTTTAATCTAAGTTTATCCTAGGGAGGTCATAGAAAATGTCTTTCTTCCTCTCTTGCTGTTTTGCAGGATGGCTACTATTCACATAAATACTTCTTAAGCACAGAAAGATTTGTTGGCATAATTTACCTCCCAAGAGACAGTAGTACCCTTTAATATTATGAAAATAAGGCATATGAGGACCCAGACAAATGAACGTAGTCCATAAACACTCCCTTCGCGAAAAGTATGATACAACTGAATTGGACTAAATTCCAGTGAGCTTTATAAATATTGACCTCAGAACCCATCTACTTTATTACTGAATGATACTTTGTTCTCTCTTGTGGTAAGAAAACAAATGGGACACTGTACATTACAAAAAGGCAAAAAATAAAGAACATACATTGTTCTTATTAAGATACAGCCTCATTGCTGGATGGATAGGAATAACTGAAATGGGTATGAAAGTTACAGGAACAGTTATAAAAACCTTGAGGCCTTCACTATTCCCTTTGGACTGATATTGCCATGTGGGCTTTGCACAGGATACAGGCTGAGCATACAGTTTCTCTCTTCTTCTGAAATTCAGTTTGCTATACATTGGTGTCTCACCCTTAGAACTTGTCTTTCAGTGGTTTGGGCTTATTTTCTTAACTCCTTCTCCACTGGTGAGCCAGAAAATTGTTGTCTTTACAGTTCTTAAGCTGCTTAATCTCAGCTAAACAGGGAGTAAGCAAGAGGACATTTGTAAAAGCAGCTTCACCCTAATGATTTGGGCAATATGGCAGCTGTTGCATGTCAGAACTCATCTTCTTTAAAATGTTCTGGTGACTACTGAAATGCATGCACTCTGTTGGCATTTATGGAGGGCCCCGTACTCCCAGGGAAGTATAGAGATGTGCTGGTGGGCAGTGTGACGGTGTCACTTGGAGGACTGATCCCGGCCCTAGGGATGTCAGCAGCACAGCTCCCTCACTTGGTGGTGCTCTCCACTGTGTGAAGTAACTGCTCGGATCTCAAAATGAGGTTACATCCTACTGTGTTAACCCTGCACAAAAGGTACCTAAGACCAAGCAGCAGCTTTTCACAGAAGTGAAGAAATGAGCAGAGAATAAAACATGATTTAGGTGTAATTAAAGGAAACCGAAATGTAAGTTGTTCTCTAACATCCTTCTCATCCAAAGGCTGATCCCTTTACCTAGAGAACCAGAAGCAGACTGAGGATAACATACTTCACTGTCCTAAAAATTTTGTCTCACAATACGAAATTCAGTCATTTGCTTCTATTTGAAGGTCACTGTCAGTGGACACGGGCTTTAGTTAGATTTCCTGCTCCCCTCAGTTTACAGCAACCATCATTCCACCTTTAGCTGACAGAGCCTGCTTCTGCAACAACCCTGCAGACAAAACTGGCTATCAATCCATCAGGTAGCTCAGTTCCTGACCCTGCCACAGACTTTTGACCTTTCAAACCTCAATTAGCCTTCCTGGTGCCTGGTTTGTAAATGGACTTGCTGCTGCATTTATTTCTTGTAGTGTGATGTTCTATTACACTTTCAAGTTGCATTCATTTGAAGGCACTGGGGGAGTGCATTTCAGTATGCTACCTGCACTGATGACAGGAGAAAGAAACAGACATAGGTCGTTAGTTGAGAGACCCATAAGGCTGGACTTGTTGACTGTTGGTTTACTTGTCAGTTCCACATTACTTACTGTGGCTGATTTTACACCAAATACATTGAAATCCTAGGGATGCATTTATTATATTTAGGATCAACCCTGCTTATTGGAAACCTTTATCTGTGTTCTCTCTGTGCTGAAAAATAAGACCTCTCAGAACTAGCATACAACAACAGCATAGCCCCAAACACCAGTGAAGTTTTAGCTTGCAAAGCCTGACGTATTTCCACAGGCAGAAAAATCACATAAATGTAATTGTTACATTTTATTACTTTTAGCATGAAGGTCTTCACATGGTTGCTGTCACCTGAGGTAAGCACAGAGATAGGTGCGTGCAGTGTCTGAATGGGTTCAGGACTACAAGATAATGTGACAGGTAGCACAGCAGTGGCACCCAGCTCAGGGCAGCCCTTGTCCTGTCTAGCTGTCTCCTGCAAGGTGCCAGGACAAAGGACACACTCAGGTCCCTTTCACAGGGGGTCCCGGCCAGGCCTGCATGAACTGAGCACTTCCCTGCTTTCAGAGCTGTTGCTGCCTCCCCATGCGCCCACAGTGGCTGGCCACGCATGAGGAAGCAACCCTCACACTGAAACCAGAGAGCAGTGCTCCTTTCTGGTTTTTCTCCTGCAGGAAAGGTCTGCTAGAAAAGCCCCTCTGCTGACATGGTTTCCTCTTCAGTCACACTGGTCTGAAATTCCATCCCTTCCCCACCCCTATGACAAGCTGCAAGCACTAGAACTCAGGAAGCAGAATGCTCCTGAGCAGCAGCACAAAATATGTACATTTCTCTCACAGGCACATCCCGCCCCACTTCTCTGTCCCCTTCCTTTTCGCATTTGTGCAGGGTGGGACACCTGCGCTCCAGAGGCATTACCTGCTGTGGGGGTCGCACTGCTGCTGCTGCTGCTGCTCCTGATCTTTCTCCTTTTTCCTCTCTACAGCTGCAGCAGCTGTTTGTTAGATCACCCCTCCTCTTTCCTCTTCCCCCACCCCACGACGTCACGTTTGCAGCACTAAGCAGAAAAAACACTGCACTTCCCGAGAAAGGAGTTTCTAACCCCAAATATCTCCATGCCATTTGTCCTGCTCTTCACCCAGGCTAGTCTAGCCTAAGCTACCCTCACCAAAATTGGTTTCTTGCTGTTGCACCAGTAAGCTGGTCTGTAAATCTCACTAACTTTATCTCTGAATCCAGAGCAGTGTTTTGAAGGACTACTTGAGAGAAGAAATGCAAAATTTCTTTCTTTCTCTTGTGTTTAAATCTTCAGCACTACAACAATGCTAACAACAAGATCAAATGGTACAGAAGGTTGGGAGCATAGCATTGAAGGAGTACTTCATATAGGGGAAACAATTTTCCACTTCTTATCTAGATATGTCTATTTATCCATGGCGTTCTGAAATATGGGCACCACTGGCAGTGGAAATGTATTGCAGTTTACATCTGCCCTTAAACGGCTGAGGTATCTCAGCATAAATCAGATGAAGAAGAATGTCATAACATGTTTACAAACTCTCCTCTCCCACTTAGTTTTCCCACTGTCACTCATGTTAGAAGCACATCGCATCCTACAGTGACATTTAAAATTTGATGTTATGATTGAAGAAGGACATAATGAGCATAGGTTGTTATGTAAATACAAAAAGTTGCAGGGGGCAAAAAGTGCCTTACTGGGTCTCATCCCTAGTGCGAGTGGTGTTGAGCTCTGGCAAGACCATCTCCACTCCCAGTGGTGTCCTAGAGGGGTGAGAAATGCCCTCCTTACAGGTGGATGGTTTCCTCGCAAACAAACCGTGGGATGCTGTGTTTTTCCTGGTTATATCTCCCAGCTGGGACCTTTGCAGAAAGGCTATGTATTTATGCCTAGCTTTCCTGCTGGTGCAGCATCTCACTTTTACTGCTCAAGAAACATCATAATTTTCTAGGCTAAAGACTACTTCCTTCTCAGGAGGAAATAATAAATCAGGGTTAAATAAAGGGTTAAACAATTAAACAAATAGCTAATGAAAAGCTCAGCCCATAGCGCTTGCAAAACAGCTCCCATACTGCGTGCTTCTGAGAGGACAACTGGTGTGACTAATACTGGCAGGAGTTGAGCTCACAACTGTAACAAGATCCAGCAACTGGAAAAACAGCTTTTTACAAACATCAGGCAAATACATAAAAGCAACCAAGGCTCACCTAGCTCTGTGAGGTGCAAAATCCCTCTTGTGCGCAGCTGCCAAGTTAGAGCTCCCACGGATAATAGGGGAGCCTGCAAAAGCTGGTGAGCTCACTACCAATTCCGACCCATGCTGCTGGCCGCCCCATGGCACAGCCCGGCAGGAGGTGAGGGGCAGCTGGGGCTGCCTTGGCTGCGTGCAGCCCTCTGGGCAATGGGGACCCTGCACCTGCCAGTGCCACCCTGCCCCAGGCATGGCTTCAGAGCACAGCAACTTGTGCTGCCTGCCATGGGAGCATTTTGAAGGGTTTTCTTTGCCAGCAGCTTGGCCCTGTGGACTGGATGCCCATAACTTGCTGAAGAAAACAAATACACTGAGATGGCGCGTGAAGCAGTGATGTTGTTTTTTGAAAGGAATGATGCTGGTGCACTCCAAGCCTGCCTGGTGATGAGGAATACGACACTGCAAGGGCCAATGACTAGAAAATTTGTTTCAAAGGTGTACTTTTGAGCTGAACTATAGCGCTATTATAAATACACCCATTTGAGTGGCAATGCACTGCAGCAGTGGAGCCAGAGTACAGGGCTCATAAATCCACTATCACATGGATATCGAAATTCTTCTTTGGGAGATGAAGAATTCAACTTCGGCAGTGGGCTGTAGTTGAACTGGCCAATCAGACCTGTTTTTTCACAAACAAAATCCTTCTCTGAAATACAAGGGGTTTTTTTGTGTACAGTTTGCTGTTGAAAACACATGTAAGGTCCCTTTAGCTTTGTGATTTGGAGTGGTGTTTTTGTAGCATGACAGCCTGAGGGTGCAAGAAAGGAAACTCAGTCACAAACGGTAACACCTTTTTTTATTAGACTAGATAGAAGTGGGAACACTTCCAGGCACACAGGATTTGGAGAAAGGCTTGTATGTTTAAAATATTTAACAGTTTTGTAAACTGCAGAGACATTCAGATGAAAGCAAATATTAAATGACAACAGTGGAATACATGTTAGCCGGATATGGGAAGACTAGAGTAAGTCCTGGAGGAAAAAATCTAGCTTTTATTTTTGAAAAATAAACCTTATTTTTTTCACTCCAGCAACTTCTTTTGCTGTCAAACTTCAATCTACAAACTACTTCACCAGCATCAAATAATTACTTGTCTGTAACTGCTAGCATCTCTTTTAAAAAAAACCCCAAGCTTCATGACTGTTCAGCATGTGTTAAGCCTGATTCTCAAAATCTAAACAGCTTGTAACCACGTTTGGTTTCTTTCTATCATGAGGTGGCAAAAACATGTTCTGTCTGGGCATGGTGCTTCTGTCAGGAACCATTACAAGGGGTTGCTTTATGCAAAAAGTTAACAGCAGTCCTGAAATGTTTCATGCAAAATGGAAAGAAACTCAATTCTCTTCAAGTAAGAAACATCACCAGAATGAAACATCTGCTCCTTTTATGCTTTTGCTTCCGAACCCTTGCTATACAAGCAATATGCAAATGTGTTTTAAGAAAAGAAACCATGTGTCTTAAAATTAATTTTCAATGTTACTAACTGTTAACTTTATGTCTCCTTTTCTCCATGATTAGATTTTTTGGCTACTTGAATTCAAGTCTGCATTTTGGCCAGTGGATTACACTAGTTTAAACACTGGTAAATCACAGCTCTTGAACACGTACTTATCTGGAAGCACACACTCGAGTGTGACTTCAGTTAAAGGAGTAAATCCTGGGCTGTCAGGGGCCATACAGCTGATGTGGTGCAGTACAGGACACTCTTATTTCTCACTAGCAGGCAGAGTATTTGCACAGTGCTGGTTGGTGTTTATGTTGTGTGATCAGCACTGCCAGTGAGAAAAGGAAGGCTGTGCAGAGGCAGCAGAGGAAGCGAAGTCACCTCCACACTGCAAACAAGTAACGTGGAAAAGCGTCAAAGTTTTTGTCTGTACTCTCAAACTGGGCAAAAGAGGAAGCAGTGGCCATGCCAGCTTCAGCACTCCCTGGTGATTCTGTACACTCAGCAGAGACCCTGTCTTGTAAACAGGTCCTGCCTCACCGGAGCTGACTTGCTGGCATCCTCTAACAGAGTTAAGTCACCCCAGA